CCATCACAAGTACACCTAAGAATATATTTTCGTCAGTCCTAAAGTTTGGGAGAAAATCAGACTTTATTGCCATAATGTCGAGGAGAAATACACACTTTTTAAAAAAATACAACTCCCAGAATACCTCAACCAGGCAAGCTTTTTGTAATTCAAAGAAAGTAACTTCCAAGCTTTGTAGTTGCACCTCATCCTCTCAGGTACATAGTAATACACTTTTCCCCTCTGGCATATGGAAGAAATAAAGACAAAAACTGATTTATGTTTTTCTTTCAGAGGACAAAATTACAAAATCCTTTCAAATTGTTATGGTTGCTACCAACTATACTGTCCGGGAGGGGGGGATGTAGTGGAATAGCTCTGCATGTTCCAACTTTGTTGTATTGTCTTATTCAGGAGATGCAAACAACGACCAGAATCCTATAGGTGTTTGCAGAAGGTCTCTGCAATTAATTGTAGGATTTGCAGTGATCTGACAAGATGCTAAGGCACATCACAGTTGCCCAGTTGGATGCATCACTGGATATGTAACCAAGACATGCTACAGCATCTTCTCAATGAGCCACAGCAAACTACATAAACCTTATGCAAATGTCAATACAGGATTGCGACCTCTGAATGTCTGCTATTGTTACCACTACCAGCTGCTCCTAGTTTTCCAGTTCATGCTGAGAATACACATGAATTCAATTTGAAAAATATGCCTCAAATCCAGTAGCCAGTCCCAATTAGAGCAGACTCATTAAATAGTACATCAACACTTTGAGACGTCCCACTGATTCCATAGGAATACCAGAGTTAGGAAACTTAAGTGCTGGATTTAAGTCCAAGACTGCATTTAATTGGCAACATTTGATTTTATCATATATAAAAATGGAATCTGCAACTTTAAATGGAAAATTGTTGAATGATGTGATCCACCTCCCAGAGATCATGAGCTTTTGAAATGGATGGAATTAGCCATGAACCGTTGTACCACTGATTTCTATAGGCATATGACTAACTGGCTGAACTTAAGTAACTTATAGTTACTTAACTATAATAGGTTGGATTTTAGCCAAATTTGCAACTTAAAAATAAAGATACTGTTTATTATTTTTGTTTTAACCATCATGTAAGGATCTAAGACTTATACTGTTTCTAGGATGCAGACCTTTAGATTCTGAATGGAGGACTACACTTGTATATGCTAGTTTAAGGAAAAATCAGCCTTTATTGCCATAATGTCAAGGAGATATACACACCCTAATTTTCACCCTGATATTTAAAAAGAAACAAGGTACTATTTCCCTACCCATCCAGCCTGAATCAGTACTGCCCAGGAAATCCTTTAGCGCTTAACTGGTGCATCTATACATTGATGTCTGAAATCATTATTATTTTTAATACATGCAACATGTGACTCTAAATTTGTATTTTTGTAAAGTTTCCAAACTTGATATTTAAATTGTAAAATATTTCTGAAGTTATTTGATTCTTAAATTTTGTAAATAATATTTTCATTAAGCCTTTAAAATCTAGATAGGAAGTTCAAAAGGTACTCTTTTTTCAACATTAGGTCTTGATTGAAGAAAACCACCTCATCTTAAGAAGATCATCACTAAGTCCCATTAAAATCAATGGAAGAAATTATTTGCAACTAACTCAAAGCCCTTTAATTCATTTGGTCTTAAGTGCAACTTTCTTTTGGGTGAATGTATTTTGATTCCTGGCTCTAAAATGCAGCAAACCCAAACAAAAACTGTACAAATTCCCCTACAAATACTTAAAAGTCTTTCAGGTGCGATGGCATTAACACCTGCATGTACAGGTGATAGTTAATGTTTAATCAGCAGTTAAACGGTCAAGGTTGTAATTTCTTCATTAACACAGTTCTCCTGGTTTAAATTTTTTTTTTTGTATTCCTAGACCATATTGGTGCATCCCTAACATTGTGGTTATATAAGAACCACTTATTTTGTCCATCTATTTTGTAACTACTTTGGGGTTCATGTTGCCTCACTGGCTGGCTGACTAGATCCCTATATCTGTTCGTCTGCAGAGAAAGTGGAGGTGTTTTAATACTGACATCTTTCTTGTGGTCAGTTCCTTTGCCTACTCTATATTTCACTGCATATTACATTTTCACCTTTGTTTTTAAAGATAACAAAACATCAGTACTCCTACCTGTTGTTGGAGGCAGTTTCCACACAGATGTAAGAGTGGCTGCAGACTTTCTTTTGTTCCACCTTCTTGCAAACCGAAAAACACTCAGGGTGTAGGTTTCCTTTCTCTCTCTCTCTCTCAAAAGAAAGAAAAAGAATGAAAGCTCACAAATACAAAGAAAATATGTTCTAACAGCCACCTAGAAGGCATTGGAACATGCCCATTGCCCTGGTTCTATTCCCTGCAGTCTTGTAACAGAACTTAGGCAAAGAAGGTCAACCCCATACCATCCTGGGACCTTTTATAAGCCATGAAGGTGACTCATCTCCTTGCTTTCAGTAAATCCCCTGCTCTCTTTTCCTTTCTCTGTCTTCTCAGAATAAAAAGCTCGATCTTTTCTTAAGGATAAGAGAAAATTCCCATTGAGTGTTAAAATGCACGGTATTTTCTGCAAAACCTATAGCTTAAATATCTGTCTTTAGTAGTTACAATGAATAGAAATGACTAATTATGATCATGTGTTAAGGTACAAAGAGATGAGCAGAAGAAGGCAGCTAGAAACACTAGCCACTTTCCTGAATGTATTCAGACGAAATATAGATAGGTATGTTCAGGTGAAGGGTATTTTGAATTAAAGAAGTGAATGACATCATCTGCTAGGCTTGATACCACTCTTCTAAAACCTTTGTTGCTCGTTAGAGGAAAAAAGTTTAATAGTTCCAAGACTTTTCAAGTCCATGTTACATGCGGCACATGAAACATGTAAAACAAATATATACAGTTGTCAAGGAATCATCTTTTTATCCTCCCAAGTGATTTTGTAGCCTACAACTGATTCCTAAAACCACAATTTTTAAAGTGTCAATTCATCTACTCAAGCAGGCTATGTTTGGTTTCCCACCATCATATAATAGTTCCCCACTCATCCCCACCCCCAAATTACATATGATGATGCCCCTTTCCTACTTCAGTTTCTGCCATAGATATATCAGTTAAAATGATAGATAGATAGATAGATAGATAGATAGATAGATAGATAGATAGATAGATAGATAGATAGATAGATAGATAGATAGATAGATAGATAGATAGATATGCCTGCATGATTAACTTGTAAAATGCCCAGAGAGTGCTTTAAGCACTATGGGGGGGTGGCATATAAGCAGCACACTTTTTAGATGCCTTATATCGTAGTAATTTGTTTTATGAGTGTTTTATATATATGTTCTCCATAAAGAAAGAATAAGACATATAAATAAGATCTAACAGGTTTGCAGATTAATTGTTGCAAAAGCTGTTAATTTTAAATTTCTGTGTCAAACTGCTAGTTGCTTAAGAACAAAAGAATAAAAAGTGGCAACCTTAGTAGCAGTAATGATATGTGAAACCTACCTCATAATCTCTGAAACTCAGCTTCTTACCTGGTCAATTTGGTCACCAAACAGTCACCTTTTTTTTTTCTTCCCAGGATTTTTTTTTAGCCACCCACTTCTGCCAAAAGCACCATATTTTTAAGTGAATGTAATTCATCTTTTCAGTCATCAGCAGGTAATTATTAGTGTAATTCATGTATTCAGTCACTTTTCTACTTCAGTCTCTGACACACACGTATACATAAAATGTATAAGGTATATAAATGAGATCTCTGTCTCTCATATTTATGCCTTATATACATCTTGCTTATATGTTTTCTATTTATATGCTTTTTAAAAAGAAAACATATATAAGACATACAGCATAAGGCATATAAATTAGGTACATACGTATGACATATAAGTCAGGAATGGAGGAGATGACTTTTAAAATTATGTGCTGTCAAGTCAGTTCCAACTTACAGTGCCTGTAGTAGGGTTTCCAAGCTAACTGAGACATCGAAGGAGGGCTTTAACGATACCAGTCCTCCAGCATGTTTCCATAGCCAAGTGCAGATTTGAACCCAGCTCTCCTGAATCCTAGTCAACACTGTTCACCACACTACATTGGTTGAAAATCATATACTTGCCTTATGTTCTTATTTATGCATTTATAAGCTGTGTATATATTATTTATGTACCTTATTTCATTTAGAAACTGTGTCCTACACTATTCATTTAGAATAGTTCTTTAGGATGGTATATAAATGTAAGAAATAAATAATAAATTTTAATGCCTGATGGCTGGACAATGTGTACCTGATTTGAGGGAATTCAGAAACACAAAACCCAGTCAATGTGCTAGCTGACTGATATCTCTTATTTTGTACTGAAGATTAAATGAAGAAATAAGGGAGGGGGGCTTAAGTTTCAAAATATTGCTGGTTCTTACGCTACTAGGTGTAGTGTAACCCCTCATAGTGTAAGGCACGTGTGTGCTCAATAATGCCTGCATTCCTCTATGAATTGTGAGTGGTTTTTTCCCTCCTGATATGGTGGTGTCACAGCCAAAATTCATAGTAGCTGTCTCCTGCTTCTTTTTCTTGTGCTTTCCAACAAGAAATTTTGTTGCTGCTATGTAAATCCCCCTCTTGTCCTGCCTTTATATATGATACCCTGAAACACATTTGTTCCAGTAGAGACTGAAGCAGGTTGGAATACCTCTACAAGAGCACAGGGTAGACTGGAAACAAATCAATGTGCCATTATTTGGGTACAGGTCAGTTGGAGAAGGAGTGGTGCACAACCCTAGCACATGTATTTTATTTCCACAGAAGGAGATGCTTATAATGCAGCTCCTTCCTTTTAAGTGCTTCAATCAGTCTGTGGGGAGGCGGTGTCATGTCCAGTTCAAGGGCTGGTTTGTCCCCCACTTTCTCAGAAGTTACATTTCCCCATGAAAACAGTCCATTTTTCTGCCTCATTTTGATGGCCACATAACAATTATTTGGGTTAGACTTTTGAGCTTACTGTAACATTGTACGGTGCTTTCTTCTTTCTTTTCTTTTCTTTTCTTTTCTTTTCTCTTCCCTCCCACCCCGCCCCCATTACACATCACATAATCCCTCTGGAGCTTCACTGCCTGATCAACTCTGTGTGCTCTGAAAAACCCCTGGTGGGGAAGTTACCTCATGACATACCCCTTGAGTTTAATTGAAATGTGGGATACTGGAGGGTTGCTGGCTAACATGGAGATGTTAGTACAACACACACATTTCTAAACCACCTTAGAACCACAAGAATCCTGAACCTGAGCTATGACAAATTTCTCCAATTTTTCTCCTCCTTTAACTTTCTTTTTGAATGACACTTTTTTTCCTAACAGATTTATGGTCAAAATTCTCATGGGAGAAAATTTTAGTACTGCACTAAAGTAACACAGAAAAAAAAAATAAGAATCATATGTAATAGATATGAGACAAATACAAGTATCTATATACTATATTGGATGCACTTGTTTCTTGATATATGTGAGACATAGGCCAGAGTCCTGTTGGAAGAAAACTGTATGAAAAACACTTCTTGTCCAGTGGGTTTGCACCCTTTTGTAGAGTGTGTTGTGCAACTTGATTTCACAAAACTGGTGCATGACTGGTCACAAAATGGTAACTTGCCAGAGAGCACAATCTCCTGACATGATTACTGTTGCACACAGGCATAAGACACATAACATATTAAAAAGGCAATGGTCTTCAAATTGTAATATGCCAAAACACATCTAGCATACCAGGAGTGCAGTCTTATGCTCACTTGACTGGTCACAGAACAGGGGTTGCGAGATATTTTGGGACTTACTTCCAAGTAAATAATGTACAGGACTGAGTATTCTGTGTGTCAAACTACTAAGACCTGGCATATATTTTTACAAGCTGTTAGGGCTTTTTTGTGGTGGTGGTGGTGGGGATTTAAGGAGGCAGGAAAACAAAAAGAGTTTTGTGATAACTTTAAAACCAAGACATTTTATTTGACATAAGCTTTCCTGGACTGCACTTCTTCTGAGGCATGGAGTGAACCCCAGCAGACAGATATCTAGTTCTACAGATCTGCAGTGCAGCCTTCTACTTCTCTACTAGAGTCAAGTCTTATTGGGTCCAGTGGTACTTCCAGGTGAGTAGGAACAGGAATGTAGGCTGAATTTATTTTAGTGTGCTGTATATGCTTTGGAGTAGTTCTACACAGCGTAGATTGTGATGATGTAAAGTCCACCTGTATCTTTCAGATTACTATGAAACTTAACTATAAACTTGAGGCAATGTGTTTGCACAATAGAAGACATGCAGTGATTTTTGATGATGTATGCAAAACATATACTAAGCAAGCATATTGCAAACTATGCCATTGTGAACAGAAAATCTCATGTGTTGACCAGTTCAGGTGGAATCCAGTCTTCAGGGGCTCATTTTTTCATGGTTTTGCAGACTTGCCATGTAAGACTTTGCTCTTCATTATGTGTTTAATTGTTAGAAAGCATGATGTTATATAGCAAGTAATAGTTGCTTTCTTTCAAACTTTCATTTGTTTTAGCATTACTGTCTTTGAGAGCTTTGATATGCAATAGGATATAAAATTAAATAAATCATAATCTGTTCAGGCTGCTATGAGCAAGATCTAGCTCTTTCCTTGGACAGATGGAAAACATATCCAGAGGACCATGATGTGAACACCAGACCAGAAATTATGGGCAGGTCTGTACCTTAAAATTGAGAAGCATGCAGCTCAGCGTAGAGGAAAACAAGGGGGCAGAGCAATGCAGACTCTGAAGCACAGGTAACATGAATCTAGAGAAGAGCATATTGATGTCACAGGCCATGGAAGAACATGGAAGACAAAAGATGAGTTGAAGATTCCAGTCTGAGTAAGTTGCAAGGAAAAAAGCAGGAACAATATCCATTGTAGTTTTAGATACGAAAAATATTTGTGTGTCTCTTCTCTGAATGGTTACTATAACCTGATTCACATTCACGGGATTGATTGATAGGACTCGGAGAAGACAGGCAACAATGGAATATATTTCATGAAAGTGACCACTTCTTTTTCAAAGCTGTATGGAATGACAATGTGAATGGCTGTATTGATCTCTTTTCCTTTTATTTTTACTCTCTTCCAAACCATGATCTTGTTGGCTGGCTTGATTTGTTCAGAGTACACAATCTTCTATCATTGTAAGCCTTTAAATTATATTTAATTAATTAAATGTTTTTTAAATTTCAGATTATTGTTGTTGCTTAATTTGTTTCATTTTTTAAAAAAGAGAACACATAAATCTCTTTTAGTGCACACCATTTTGAAATATCCGGTGGGCTGAATATTGATAAAGGAATACTTCTAATAAATGATGCAGTTGTTTCCTTCTCATCCCTGTTTGGCTTTATTCTTTACCCACTTTAGGAATTAACCTAAGGAACTTAAGGTTATAGCCAGTTGTTCATTGTGTGAGCAGTTCTAACTTTTCTGACCTTCCACAAGGCTCTTCATGCAAATATAAGTCTTCCAATGGGGTGGTGTTCTGGCATTGGCAACGGCAAACAGGAGTTCATAGAATAAAACCATTGCCGCATTAAACTTAGCTTGTGTTGCAACAAGACTTTGGCCAATGTCTGTAACTTGTAAGAAGAAAATAAATGAATTCTTTTGCAATACTGAGGCTATTGTACACTTACCACATATATAATATTCACTGGACAAGACAATAATGCTGGCAAAAGTTGAAAGGAAAAGGGGAAGACCAGTGTGAGAGGAATGATCTGAATGAAGTATGTCATGGCCTTGAGTTTGCTAAAGCTGAGCAGGGCTCTTAATGATAGGACCTTTTAGAGGCCACCAGTTCATAGACATGAAGTGAGTTGATGACACAGCAAAAACAATAACAAGAGGACTCAACACCAGTTGTGGAAGTACTGTACATGTGAGAATAGAGGCCAGAGGTGCCTTGTAACAGTTTAAGCTTGCTAATGTAGTTGCAAACCTATTTAGGAATAACAGATGTTGCCTCACTCATGCTTCAGGTACATCCAGACTAGACTACTGTAGTACTACTATTACTATCATTATAGTTCTATCCCACCTTTAGAATTAAAACAGCAGCAACAACAACAACCTCAAGGTGGCCAACAAATGCCACTGGAAACAATATAAAAGAATAAAACCATTTGAGTCATCATAATAATTGGAGCAATTTAAAAGACTAGCCTGAAAAGATGCATCTCCATAACTTTCCTGAAGGCACATCGAGAAGAAACCAATTGCATTCCCAGAAGAAATACATTCTATAATCTGAGACAACACAGAAGAAAGCCCTCTCCCACGTACCTGATCAGTAGCCAAAATACACATGCCTTATTACAATAAACATAGACATTTTAAAAAGAAAAGGCAGCCAAAGGGGTCCTTAGCAGTGTTGAGATTGGAGGGGGCCAAAGAGGATGCAGCCTCTTCCTCCTCTTGGCTAAAAATTGTTGTTGTGTGATGGATAGTTTTCTCAGAATGAGAGTCTTCACTAGTACCAAGGAAGGCTTCCTTTTTAAAACAAAAATCAGCTTGGCAGGTTTTCATTGTGATTATAGCATGAGAGAAGAGAATTAACTCTGGCTCTATAGCCATATATGTAACTCGCCAAGCTTTTCATCTGTTCGCTCCTTACTAAGGCAAATTAAGCCAATTCACTCAATTGAGTGGGATTGTATCAGATTTGGTTTTTCTTCTCTGTTTTTTTGTGTTGTTCCAAAGCAAACCAAAGAAATGAACATGTGAGTACCAAAACATTTGCAACTGCAACAATTTTCTGAGAGAATGGTTGCATTTTCTGACAGAATTTCAAGGGTGCCAATATTTTTGGCCATGACTGTATAGTTTAAGTCTGAGGGATGGAGAGAGGAGTGATTACCAGAGGGCTGGGAGCCACAGATGCCCATCAGTGGACTTTGAAGAGCCATAGCTGATCACGCAAACCCCCTCCCCCTCATTATATCTCTTATGGGAACAGGGTTTTTTAAACTGTAAAAGCCACCCTGTGCTGTCTAGTGGCAAATTTTTTAAAAAAATGTTTTGCACGGGGGGCTGTGAAGGCTTCTGGGGGTGCTGATTGAACTTAAATCAAGACAGAACTCCCTGCCCTCCCAGTCATTAGAAGGCGGGAATTTGTGAGGAAATTTCATTCTCAAATTTAGACTTTCAGGGTGTTTTGGGGGGACTATTGCATGTCTTTGCACCCCTGTTCTAGAATCCTATTTGGGTTTTGCAAACTTGATGAAAATTTCACACAAAGAGTGAGCTAGGCCTGCTCCCCCACATCTTTCCTTTCACAATTTTTCACATGTAGGATCCTTCACAATCTGGGCACTATTCACCTGAGTCAGGACTGTGATTTCCTTTAGGGCCCCAAGTCATACTGATAGCCCTTGAGCATAGCAGAGACACCTCATCAGGCTAAACAGTGATCACTTTTCACCTGCAGATGTCCAGTGTGATGATGGCAGAGTGATGAGGCCAGAATGCCACCCCTTGACTTTTGGGTGAGTCCTTTGTTCAATTTGTAACATCCAAATAAGTCTGTTGTGCAAGTTTATTTATACTGTATGGATTTTGGACAATGTTCAGAGAACACTGGGTGTAAGGCATTGATTCCATTGAGGTAGTTCAGGCTGAGCTCACATGGTCAAAACCCTCAGCCTTTCTGTACAGTGGGGTGTTGACTTAAGAACGGCTCGAGTTAAGAACATTTTGATTTAAGAACCACTCTCATAGGAAAATATTGACTTGACTTAAGTATTTAGATTTGAGTTAAGAACTGAAAAAAACCCACGTGGGAGGCAGGGAAAGTGCAAAATTTGAACTTTCAGTTAACTGTCGGCCAGTGAAAAGGGTGCCTGTCTGCTTCCTCACTCCTCCCAGCGTTTAGAGAGTGGATTGGGAGACAGTCTTCGGACTGCCTGGTACTGTACTGCCTGGACTGTATTTTCCCTGCCTTCCCTGAACCTTTCTTGACCTAAGAAAAAAAGAAACAAAATATCCCCCTCTAGTGGTCGAAGGCAGAATAGCAGCTTCCCATTAGTTTCTATGGACTGAAAAGAGCAGATACGGATCAAATGGTATTCAATGCATTCCTATGGGAAATGCAGATTTGGCCTGAGAACTTTTTGACTTGAGAACCACCTTCCAATGCGGATTAAGTTCTCAAATCAAGACCCCACTGTATAACAGGAGCTGTGCCATCATCTGTCAATCACCCGCTAAGTTCCTTGTTGCCTCTGAACTTAGCTGCAGTCCTCAGAATATCAGGGAGAGAAATGGATTTTCCCAGGAACCATGCATTCTTGCAAGTTATCCCTGTTACAATACAAAGAGAATTTGTAAAGCCTTTAACTTTACAGAAACTTGCTCCTTATTGATTGATATGGACAGATCTAGCTATCTGCATTTTGGAATCTTTCTCAGGACATTTATGGGGGCTGCTGTAATGTGCACCTGCCCTTCCAAATGTATCATTATGACACTGATTGTACATAATACAAAACTATGTTATTGATTCAACTTTGGTTGAATTAGGAATTGTTTGGAGAACTGCAGTTTGTTGTCTTCATTGTCTGTGTGTACAGAAACAGAGAGAGAAAGAGGGGAAGGAAACTGAGCTGAAATTTCCTGTAACACTAAAGAGTGGAGCTATATTTGGCACAGTACAAAGTGGCTCTCAGTGTTAAGGTAAGAAAGAGAAGCTTGGCATTGTATGCGTTTCAAAGCAAAGCATGTAGGTGGGGAGATTTTAGGAGTTGTTCACAACTTAATCAGAAATTTCTGAACAATCTCCATTCATGGGGTCAGTAAAGTACATGGGATTTTCAGTTGTCAGTCTATTGCAGATTTTCGTTTCCCCAGAAAATTCTATATGATGTCACTAGTAAAACATTATTTTTCTTTTCTTTTTTAAAATCCCTTATTATAAAGTTAAATTGACAGCTTTAGTTCATTGTCTAGATAACATTAAGTCACTTGCTTATTATCAACATTTAAGTTATGGTTATTAAAAATACATAAATAAGAATGCATTTTAAGTAGTACTCATATTCTGTACTTACGAAATAAGTGTTCTATGAAAATGAAGGCACATACAAAGGGGCACCTGAAAGGCAATAGAAATGTAAGAAACAGCACAGGATATAATTAAAAGAATATAATTGTTCACTGTGTGGCCAAAATCCTCTTGTATAGGTGGCATAAGGGGAATAGTGTAACCAGCACTGGCAGATTATTAATAATTAAAGTTTTCCTCTTTCAGTTCTGAGTCCCACACAGCCACCTACCTTGCATGCATTTCGTTTTTGCCAATGTAACTTACAATTAGATGACTTTGGCCAATGTGTTTTGAGTAAGTGTCACTTTAATTGAGAATCTGTACATTATTGTATAATTGCACGATAGTGCAGATATGATGTGTGGCACAGCAACTCAAGATTGTATAAAGGATTTTAAAAATAGGGGAAGCCCAAACAAAAGATCTATAACTTTTAAACCAGGCTTTGGATCGGCATCAAATTTCACATAGCTGTAGCAGATAGTCTGAAAAATTGCTTTGAGTTTGGGTGAGAAATAGTTAATTAATGAAAAAAGGAGACATGCATCATGTATTTTTGTGAATGGTAGGTAGCGAGTATAAGAGGGTATCCTGTAGACCAATGGTTCCTAACCTTGGGTGTCCAGATGTTCTTAGACTTGGATAACACAGCTAGTGGTGAAAGCTTCTGGAAGTTTTAGTCCAAGAACATCATGGTTGGGATCCATTGCTATAGACCATCTTGACTGCTGCCATTGGTCATGTAATGCTTGCCATCCCTTTTCTGCTGCAATGAAGGCACAATATTGTGCAGCAATATCCAGCCATTTCTTGGCATTTTGAATAATGCATAGAGAAGCACAACATCCCACATTTATAAACCAGAGGGTTTTTTAAAGGTATTGAATAGTTCATCAGACTATGGGTAGATGCCCAGCTAGACCTCTTCACTGGTCCATGTGGGATTGGTTTATGGGAAAAACTGTTCTTTTCTTTCTTTCTTTCTTTCTTTCTTTCTTTCTTTCTTTCTTTCTTTCTTTCTTTCTTTCTTTCTTTCTTTCTTTCCACTCTTTTTCTCAAAGCTAGTCTGACCACAAGTACCGTCTCAGTTCACTTTATCCCACGAACCATGCTTCACTGTTAAACAAGAGCAGTGATGCTTGT